TGTTGAGTTTGTAGGTGTTCAGAATGGTTTGATCCCTATCCAGCTGAATTCCTGAGAGGAGACGAAATCCAGGTCTCCTACTCCTCCGCCTTCTTGCTCCGCGCCCCCCAACAGCAATTGCTTAAAGCAAAGTGGACCCAGTTGTGCTTTCCCTGTGGCACTGGCGGTGGTTACGTTCTCAGCCCTCACTCTTCACCAACTCCCTGGCTCCCTTGGGAGGCGTGGACGGGCGCCTGGGGCAGTGAGGCGGTGGGGGGGCTGCTGCCTGAGGCCAGGAACCCAGGTCTGTTACCTGCAACTGCAGGGTGAACACCTCACGGCCTTCCTACACTACCTTGCTCTACTCTCGGGCCATACCCAAGAGAATGAGTGAAGAGATGTGCCCCCAGGGAAATCTACCAACTTGGGAGTCCCATGAAGTGTGGGCAAGTCCTATGTGGGCCACTCTCTATCAGTGTGATGTCTGGGGAAGTTACCTCAGTTCTCTAAGCCTCAAATTGCCCATCCATGAAATGGGAACAAGAGTGCCTACTTCACAGGGTTATCATAAGGAATTACTGAAATTTTATATTGCCAAGTACCATGCTAGAGTCAGGTTCAATATTCAAAACCTATTCTCTTTTCCTGCCTTCTCCCCCATTTCTTCCTTTATATTTCCCCATTTTCTATTTCCAGGTTTATGTAGCTGTTGGAGCTCACGTAATCCCAACGGCACCAAAACCACCTCTTGACAAACAGGGCCTCTCCTACCCCATCAGAAATTGCCACTGTGTGCTTCTCCCACACCCCCCCACCCCTGCCCAGCACAAAACTGTACCACTGGAAGAGTCAAAGGGATGGGCCACAGGGACCAGGAGACAGTCTGGGCCTCTGGTGTCATCTGGGCTCAAGAGCGAGACCTGGGGAGCCTATGGGCACATGGAGACCTGACAGTCTCAGGGATGCTGGTGAGATGCCGTAATGGTGGAAAGACATGTGCACCAAACAGTGGTATACAGGTGACTCTGAGATGAGTCTGGCCGGAAGCTGGAAATGAGGGGTGGTGCTCACAAACTTCAGCAGAAATACAACCACCCCCTGCCAAGAGTGGGGCACCCAAGAATGTAAGAGACTTATCTTCCTAGCAGGTCTGTCCACCAGAAGGCCAGTTTGATGGGTCATAGTCTACAACTCTGGTTCTGCAGAAACTTTCATCTCTCCATCTGTGTGTCCGCATAGTTATCCACCTGGTATATATTAAGAGTTTTGTAGAATACAGACTCACCAGGACAGAAGACCCTCTGTGCTCATTTAGCACCTTTAAGTTATTTTTTATGGTCACTCAACCAGAGTCTTTTACAGGAATGCTGTGAGGTAGTAACAAGACAGGCAATACCCCTCTTCTGATAGATGGAGAAGAGCTCAAGGTAGCACAGTGCTCAAGTGAGCACAGCTGAAACATGGGAAAGGCTTGATCAATTCAGGGCACCGACCTGTTTCCTGAAGGCCAAAATTGGCCTTCCACCTAGAGGCCTTGGTATGGCTTGTCCTGAACCGACCTCTATATCCAGACCCACTCTGCTGCTTTTCACACCAGTGTGGGTTTCAAGTCATCTTTGAAGTTCACGATAGGCTTTGAGTGGGCCCACAGCTTCTCCCAGGAAGCCAGCCCCCCAGCAGGGTCAGGGTCACTGTCTGATGAGCCACTGTCACTGGAATCAGAGGAGCTCTGGAAGCAGATTTCACAGTAGGGCCGGTGGCAGCGACAGAAGAACTCGTCTGAACTGCTGGACTCAGTGTCAAGGTAGTTGCATGGAGGGGACATGGAGGGACAGCGTGGGAATCCCAGGGGCAGCAGCTGCCGCTGTTCCGGAATGTCTGGTGAGGCTCTGGATAGGTGTGGGGCAGTGGGAGATGGTGCCTGGTCAGAGCCAGAAGGCTGGTGGGGAAAGGCTACATGGCTCCCTCTGGCACCCTGGGGCTCTGTCTGGCTTTGTTTGCTGCCCTCCACAGTGCCCGGCTTGCCTTGAGGATCGGGTAGTAGTGAAGTCTTCCTAGAAGAGGGATTTGGGACTCTGGAATCAGCAGTTTGGGGATCCGGGCAGTCACTGTCCCTATTGTGCACATTTAGCCGCTCACTGTGTGCCCCAGAAACAGTCCTATTTGCACGATGCCCCACATATGAAGGTATAGAGCCTGGAAAATGTGAGCGAGCCCACAGTGCTGCCCGCCTTCTCCTCACCATGTATGGGCTGAAGCCCAGCTCATTGGAGAGGGGAATCTTCTGGAAGCTGTGGGCAGCACTGCTCTTCCAGGGCTGCTGGGGATAGGACAGGGAAGAGGGGAGGGGAGTCTCAGGGCCCAGGCCCAGATCTTGTAGGACTTCCTGAAGCTTCTCCCTGATCACTGAATTGACCCTTGACAGCCGCTTTTGGGGCTCCTCTGAGTTCTCCAGCTGCCCCTGTCTCTGGGGAATGGGGCCTTCTCCCCCTGGTATGAGAATCTGGTGGGGGTTCATGGGTACTTGGTCTTGCCTTTCTGCACCTCGGCTTTGCTCAGGCCGTGGCTTCTGGCTGCAGCCCAAATTTAAATGATCTGAAATGTCTTTCAAGTTAGACATTTTCTCCTTCTGCCCTGGGGAGGAGCTGGTGTCCTTCACAGCCTGCTCCAGGCTTTGTACACTTGAGGAGGGCACTGAGGTGCTCTGGGAGTCCTGGGCAACCACACTGGTATCGTTCTGAGAGCCAGAGAGGCATTCTGAAGGCCCCTGAGCTACCAGGCTGTGGGCAGAGGCTGCAACCAGGGTGTTCTTGCTGTGGGAAGAGGCCGGAGGGACAGCCCACTCTGGGGGGTCGAAGGTGCACTCAGCTGACATCAGCCTCACTAGCTTCTCTTTGGCGTTGTTTACTTGTTCCTGCAGCCTTTCAATCATAGCATTTTTCTGTAAAATAAAAGTGAAACCATCAATAAAGGATGCCTCTGAGGGTTTTTACATTGTTTCCCATGGTGGAGAAAGCATGGCATCAGAACCTTGCTCTAAATCCCAGCTCCTCTGCATGTCAGCTGGTGATCTCAGGCTCTGGGGATGTGAGTGAAGCGCTTAGCACAATAACTGACACATGGTGCTCAGTAAAGGTTAGCCATGATTTATTGTGGGGTGATCTTAATCCCCACCTTACATCCGCCGAGTGTGTGGCTTTGTCAGTGAGAAGGGAGGTCAGAGGAGGCAGAGTATTAGCTGTTTGCTGGCTGCAGCCACCCCTCTCCCCTTTCCTCAGAACTTAGAGGGTCAGGCCGCTCTGCGGGACACCACTCTGACAATGTCTGAGATGGCCCAACTCGGGGTTTGTCACACTTCCGCAAAATACAGATAAATTTCAGGCATATCTCAAGGGGATGAATGAATGAGGAAATACATATTTTGCCTCTTGCTAAACAGACTAGAACATTTGGGAAGAACAGAGAGAAGAGTGGAGATTCCTGCACCAAAGACACAAGACCCAAGCTGGGGGTTGGGACGGGTGCAACAGGGATTCTCAGGTTGGTGTTATCACCTCCCTTGGCGGGACCTCGGGGGTGGACGCCAAAGCTACCATGTGGGACCATTAGCTGTCGGTAGCTCTTAAAGAAGGGCAGGCACCAGAATCACTGGAGAAACTTTTCTTTTCTTTTTATTAGAATAGTTGGGACTAAATCTCTGATCGCTTGATCTAGTAGATCTAGCATGGAACCCAGGAGATGACTGAGCCCGGGGAGCAGCCTACCTCCTGCATGGCTGTGAGCTGACAAACAGGTTGTACTCAGGAGGGCTGGCAAGTGAGGGCTGCAGGGGTGTGCCCATATTAACTGTAAGATTGGGGGGGCATGAAGCAGGAGGAAGGGTGGTGGTGGGAGTGCCCTGAACATCCTCTGCTGGTATAGCCGGTGATTGTCTAGCTCAGAACTTATGTCCACCCTCTGAGATTTTTGAATTTCAAAAGTAGTGGAACCCAAAGGAGAAGTGATGGTCTTGGGGCAGATGATACAGGGTCCAGGGTTTGGGAGTAATAACACAAACATTGCATTCTAGGAAGTGCTTGTCCAAATACCAAAACGCAACCTCTTTGTCGTCATCCTCTCTAGAAGCTGAGGATGAGCATCTGGACATCCATTTATTGTGCCCTAGAAATAAAAGCATGTTTCCCTCCTTTGGCTACCTGAAACAAGTCGCCTGTGGACTGAACCTGTGGTTTTTTTCTCAAGTTGATATGGGAGTGTTGCCCAGAAGTGACCCTTTAAGGGAGCAGTAACTTAAGTAAACTAGTCCAGTAATAGTCCTCTGGCAGTGACTTCAAGCGGATCTCCTGTTCCCTCTTTATAAGCAGGAGGGTGATTTTCCAAATATTGGTACTCCAGGTTCATCCCGGCTGAGTCTTCTTCTTTTATCATCAGGAGAGAGCCCAGGACCAGTGAGTAACTGGTGAATAAGCAGAAGGGGCTTGCAAGTTGAGCTCCTGTCTCCCCATCCTCCCTTTGCTCACCTGCAGAGTGGTGAGGCCGGGGAGCTGCTGGGGAAGCGTAGATGACTCAAGGACTCACCAGGAGCAGAGTGGATGAGTAACACGATGACATTCATTCGGGCTCTTCATGATATCTGGGTGGTGCCAGATATCTTTCTGAGGATCTCATGGGCATGACTGAGTTGGCTGCACAGGAGGGACCCTAACCCTCTTCCTCCTCACCAGCCCCTCCTCCTGAAGCCCTTCAGGAGTCTCCACTGCCCCACAGAGTTAGGAGGAAGCCACCAGCTGATGACAAGTACTCCAGCAAGTAAACTCCAAGTGCTGACTTTTTGTGCTCCCAATTCCTTTGAGTGTAGAAAAATAGGGTAAACACTGAGTTGGAAAGAATACTTTTCTCCCAGCAAACCAAACATCTGAAGCTGACTGGTGACGGATTTAGAAACGTCAGCCTAAACAGTAAATTTCCCTTGTTCCAGAAAAGGAAGTGGGACTCTGTCTTCACCGTGGCTGCATACTAATTAAAGGCGTGGTGTGAGGCGTTGCCATTGTGAGACCGAAATCTGACCTACCGCGGCAGCTACATTTAAATGAGCTTATTAATTATTACTTTTGGCACATCTGGGGAAGAAAAACATCCATCGGTGTGTTTTATAAGGTGCAGGCTATAAGGAGAAATGGAGTCACCCTCTTGTAGGTGAATTTCCTCTGCTGCAGAGTGTACAAGGGAGGTTCTTCAACCTCCGGGAAGGTTCTGTCTGCTGGCCTTCCCACAGCCCGGCAAGTCAGTGATGCATGCTGCCTGAACAGCCTCTGGAGGACCTCTGGCCATAGGGTCAAGGAGGGCAAGAGTGGGGAGATGGACTGTCCACCTCATGGGAAAGCAAGAAGAGGACAGAGGAGACAGAGGGGGCTGCGAAGGGGGCTGCATAGAGGGCACCTGCAACCGGGGAGCTGGAGTCAGGGTCTGTGCGCATAGGGAAGCAGGAGGGATACTTGTGTTTATCTACCAGGCAGTGCTGGCACTGGAGACTCGGATACTGGAAGCTCTCTAGGCCTGTGGAGGGGCCCTGGGACAGGCTGCTTGTTCTCAGGCCTGTTCCGGGCAAGATGTTCCAGGTGTAGGGCCGCGGGAGGAGAAGGCCAGGATTTTACTGCCTCTGCATCTGCTCCCTATTAGGGCCCTTCCTCCGCAGACTCAAAGCATCTTTTTGGATAGAGCAGATTCAGTTACTGCGTGGGAAACAGGGTAGCATGGCAGAAATACAAAAAACACGTCACAAATTACCATGAGGCTAAAGAGTCAGGCCACTTGGCTGTTCCAACGTTAGCTGATTGTGAATAAAAACCATCCTGGCTGTTCTCGCCAAGTTTCCAGCCTTCTGTTTAGCTGGAAAAAAAAATGCTTCTTTGAAGACTTCACAGAGATTAAAGGCAATGCCACTTACACGCTTGCCAGGTAGGAAGGACTCTGGCTTTGAAATAAGGTCCTGAATGCTTCATGAATAGTAAAGAAATGGAGAAGTATTCCTCTGGTGGATTCAAGAGCTCCAGACCGAGGGCATGGTGAGGGAGTAGAGGAACACAGGCAGGGGGTGCCTGGGGAGGTTAATGCCTTCCCTGGTTGTGTTCCTTAGGTCCCCATCGCACCCTTGTCTCACACAGGGACAACTGATACCCAGGTGTCAGGCCAGTTACAAATAAGTGTAGTTTCCCACATAGCACCGACTCAGGTGTGTTCTGTGCTGAAAAAGTATGAAATATAAGTTAGTGAGTGTGAAAAACTGATTCCTTTGAGTCCTGTGCCTCCTTTCTGAGGCAGTGCAGCCTCAAGCCTTTCCAGGTGCCTTCTTCAAGCCCATATCACACCGCCCAGTTCTGGGAGAGGTGCCAACTCTGGATCAAGAATAGAGGGAAAAGGGGCTTGGGGTTGGCCCAGTCTTCCCCTGATGCTACTATGATATTCAGAGGCCCTATTAAGCCCTCCACCCCATTTTGGACACTTTCTGGGTTGGTAGGATGATTGAAATCTCTAGTTCAAACCTGAAAAGGACAATAATGGGCCCCAGAAGATCTTGGAAATGAGGGCACTACTCTAAGTAAAGAGAATGTGCACCATACAGAAGAAGCTAGGATCCACTACTGCTCAAGGCCTTTACAACACTGTTCCCCCTGCTTGGAATGCTTTTCCCTGCACCTGGTCAATTTGTACTTAACCTCCAGCTCTTGGCTCAGAGAGTCTTTTCTGACCATTCTAACTTAGGTTCCCTTGCCCTCACTACCCATTATTCTGTCTTACCACTCTGATTTCTTCCTTCATAATTCTTTTTTTTTAAAGATTTTATTTATTTATTTTTGTGAGAGTGAGAGCGCACGAGTGGGGGGTGGGCAGAGGGACAGGGAGAAGCGGAATCCCCACTGAACAGGGAGTCCAACACAGGGGCTCACTCCCAGGACCCTGGGATCATGACCTGAGCCAAAGGCAGATGCTTAACTGACCCAGGCGCCCCTTCCTTCATAATTCTTATCACAGTTTATAATTACACGTTTACTTGATCAACATATATTTCCTCCAATAGACTGTGAGCTCCATGAGGGTAAGGACTGTATTTGTTTTGTTCATCAGTACTTTGCACAATGCCTGGTACACATCTGGCCAGTGGACGAATGCAGTGGGTGTGATCAGCGATGGGAGGGTCCCTGGGGAAATGCTGAGCTTTCTGCCTGGGGCTGAGGGAAGTGGGGGAATGGAAGAATAAGAAAAAATGTTAGCCATGAGACATCTGGGGTCCACCACACATGACTGGAGTTTTGCTGACAGAGAATCCACCAGGCAGGGGTATAGCTTACTTCTGTGAGGAGTCTGTCCATGGAGTTTCTCTCTCCTCCGGAGTGGCAGTTCTGCTCCTCACCATACTGGGTCTGGAAGCTTTTGCTGGGAGTGCTGAAATATTTGGCCATGCGTCTGATTGTTTGGTTTTCCTCTTCAAATGCCTTCCACTGCTTCAGCTGTTAGATAAAAGAACAAATGTTATTTATTTAATTACACTCCCAGAAACACATTCTCTCCCTCTTTGTCAAAAACATCAAGGCATGAGAGTGTCACAGATACACACATATGTATAAGCTAGTCTCTCCTCAAAATGTACTTTGGAAAGTTCGCAAACAGCAATGACAGAGGGTATAGAGAAGGTTAAGGTCATTTTTAGTTTAAAAAATGCCGAAGGAAGAAGATGACAGGTCAATAAGATAGAATCATCTTAGCTTGACCCATCTACCTACCTATGGCTAGATGCCGTCAGTGTGAACCAGAGTTGAAGTATGCTTCTAGAGCCTATTCTCAAGCCAGAGGTTAGGAGCTTTCACAGGGTGAGGCAATCGAAACGTTGTATGTTTCAAATGAAACTGCTTTTAGTTGTGAGTAGCTGTTCTTAATTATTCTCATTTGTGGAGTAATTGTGTGCTTACTGCTACTGAAAGCCCAGTCCCCGCTGGAGGACTTCTCGCCCAAATCAATAATCAGGTCTCAGACGGATAGAAAACCACAAATGTCAATAAAATTCAATAGAAATGACAGAACATTAGGTCTGAGAGCTGACTGTCCTTTTTACGTGACAAATGAGGAAAGACTCAGAAGGAGTATGACCTTTCCAGGCCCCACAGCTAGTTAGCAGCACGGCCCTAGCTGTCACCAGGCCCTGTGCCACACCACATCTCGTCAGCACGGCGGCTGAAGACAGAGACTGAGAACTGTGGGGGGTCCTATGGAGGCTTTTCCAGGAGAAATTGGTTTTGAGAAACAATCTGTGGAAGCTCGGGCTGGTTTAATTTCTTCAGAATGGAAGTGAATACAGAACATTCACAAACAGGGGCATGTTCCTGGGCCTTTGGGATATTGTCTCCATGCGGTGAATACCAGTAATGCGAAGGCCAGGGGTGGCGGGAGGGGGGAGAAGCAGCAGTTCTGGATGCTTCTCTTTCTCCCTTAAGGAATTCTCATCATTAAGGGTCCTAGTGATGTACACTGGCTCTAGATAGGATGCTGAGTGGTCTGTGGGGAGCCTCACAGGGATCCTGGAATTTATTTGCTTACTCATCAAACATTTATTAAGCTCTGACTATGGAGTGTAACCCAAATTTGGTAAAGCAGATAGGATTCTAAATTCCCACCATCAACCACAAAAAATTCTCACCCAAGTCCTCCTGGGTCCTCTGTTGACTCAGCATGAGTCCTTTATGGTATCAGGAGTCTGGGTGATCTGTGCTGGGTCAGGCTAGGACCCTCCCCTCCTGGAGGCCTTTCTCGAAGTCCCCCTCCCCAGGGGCCATCAGCTCAGCTGGGGACTCAAGAGTTAGGAGCCTGGCACCTCGGGGTCACTCTGTGGTCTTCAGTGGGTGGAGCAGACCTCCAGGGTTCTCCTAGCACTCACCCTAGCAGTGTTGTAGTATCTTTGTTCCCTCCCAGGGCCCCTCGTTTCCTTAGCAGCATAGCTTTACCTTTCTCTCCCCCAGCACCCCCAGTCTGAGCCCTCTCTGCAGGGCTGCTGGAAGAACTACTCAAAATTGGTGTAAGGGCACCGCTGGGGCTTCCGGGCTGTCTCACCCCAAGCTGGAGGGCACAGCCAGGGTGCCCCTTGACTAAATCCTCCTCCTCCCCTTTGTGGGGATGCTGGTCCCTAAGACTTGACCCTTCTGGCTTTCTGAACCATGGCTATAAATGACCCCCAGGTCACAATTTCAGGACCTCTCCATGGCACTTCCTCCAGAAGGCAAGCATTTTCTTGTTTTCTCAGCCTCTGGGCCATATGGGTGTGGTGGGATGAGTAATGTTTCCCCAAAGATGTTCTTCCCCTCCTAATCTCAGGAACTTGTGAATCTGTTACCGCACACAGTGAAAGGGAGTTTGTAAATGTGACTGAGTTAAGGATTTTGAGAAGGGGAGACGGTTCTCGATTATCTGGGCAAGGCCAATGTCATCGCAAGAGTCCTTATAAGAGGAAGGCAGGAGAGTCAGAAGAAGAGATGTTGACAGTGGAAGCAGAGGTCAGAAAGAGAGAGAGAGATGAAGATACCACACTGCTGGCTCTGAAGACGGAGGAAGAAGCCATGAGTCAAGTAATGAAAGCAGCCTCTCGAAGCTGGAAAGGGCCTGGAAACACATTCTCCCCTAGACCTTCCAGAAGGAACACACACCTACTGACATCTTGATTTTAGTCAAATAAGGCCCATTTTGGAAGTCTGAGCTCCAGGGCTATAAAATAATAAATGTGTATTGTTTTAAGCTACTCGATTTTTGGTAATTTGTTACAGCAGCAATAGGACACTAACACAGAGGGATTGACTCTCAATCTCTACCAGGTAAACCAGGGCCTTCGGAAGCTCAGCCCGTGTGCCTCTCTCACCTCCTGCCACTCTCCCCTTGATTCAGTTTGTACTTCAAAAAGTGCAAAGTGCACAAGCATACCCTGTTCTGTGTCCTATATATCTGCCTCTGGTCATGGTGTTCCCCCATCAAAAATGCCACCCACTGTCCTTCCCCAATCTGCTCAGTGAACTGTTATTCCTCCCTCAAGACTGGGCCCAAACACCCCTTTTCTGAGAAGGTGTCAGGGAGTTCCCAGACAGCCTGAGGCACCCCTTCCTCAGCATTAGGTAACATGCCTTCCTCAGACACTTAACGCATGTATTATAATTCCTTTCCCATCTGCTCCCTACTAGACTTGGAGGTGGGGCCATGTGTTGAACTACATGTTTCCTGCAGTTAGTAAGTGATGGGCAGATACGTGAACAAATGAAGGAAGCTTTCCTCTAGAAAGCTAGGGGGCACTGGGATGTATACAGAGGACTATAAGACAGAGTAGAAATTCCTAAACACCTTCATGGAGGAGCAGATGAAACATTTGGGGGATGAAGAGGAAAAAAAAAACCACATCCTATCTCAGAACCCACCTGCCTCTCAGAGTGAGAGGGATGGAGAGGGGATGTATATAGGGTTGGGTCACGTTCAGGTCACAAAAGCCGAGGCTGGCTCATTGCTGGGGATGACCTCAGTGTTTGGCATAAACACTTAGGCATTTCCTGAGGGCCTGTGTAGAGTGCTACTTGGCCCACTTGCCTCTTCAGCAATGTCATCCATTTCACTCAGCTTTCTAGCGCCACCTGGCTGCCCTGGACGTATCAGTGCCTCGGCTTTCATAAGCCCCTCCCATCAGTCCAGTCTGAAGGCTTAGCCACAAGAAGGCAGTCCACCTCCTGCTGCCTCCCCTCCCCATATAGCTCTCCTCACACACCTTTCCAAATTTGTTCAGCTGTCCTATTTTCCTGGAAGACACAGTGCAGGTATCACAAGGAGAATCTTTCTTCTACCAAAGGCCACCGAGCCAGAGAAGAAAATCAATTCAGAGGCATACAAAAAACTGACAAGCCTCAGTTACTTTTATATTTTGAAATAGCATTTACCCCCCTAAACCTAAACTACAATAAACTATAACATATCTTTTTTGGTTTTAGATCATGGTCAGTTCAAGAGGAGAAAAAGCATGAGACAGAAAATAGAAGAGGAAAGACTGTAAGAGAATGAAAGCTCAAGACAGCTAGGAGGGAAAAGGAGCGGGGGGTGAGTCAGAGAGAAGGAAAGAGAAAGACCCACACTGTCTGTCCACCCAGTTCCTAGTTCCTATACCCCCTAATACTTCCATTTTCACTCCCACTTCAACAAACCAAGTGCTTGTTGCTTAGGTCAAAGCTAGAAGTGAGATTCCAAGCTGAACTTTGTCCTGCATGTTTATGTCTGTGTGTAGATGGGAGTGGACCTAAATATTACCACTGAGGATTCAAACACCAGGGACAGTGGAAGTCTTGCGTCTGAGGCTCAGGATGAGAAAGGAACAGAGGTGGGTGTGAAGGGGAAGTTACAAGTATGGCCACACCACGGAGGTTGCAGATTCACTCCATTTTTAGATAGAGGTCTTGTTTAGGTCAGGAAGGCTTTCCTCTAATAATAGTTCCTACGTGATTATTTCTGCCCCAAATTATCTTGTTGTCTTTCAGAGATTCTTACTAGTTTGAAGTTGTATCCTAGATCTGTTCTCCATATTTTCTTAACTAGTCTCTCATTTTTTATCTGTCTCCTTGTTTTCTGTTTCCTTAAATTAATTCACTAATTCAGTATTTTGCCATGTCCAATTGTCTATTCAATGCTTTTATTGGAATTTTAAGTTTAACACAATATTTTTCATCCTTATTCAGTATTTCATGATCTAAGATTATGTCCTTTTCATGATGGTTCACTTGAGTTGAAGAGAGGCAATGTCCTTTGAATCCCATTGACAAGACAAATCAAATCTCTTCTAAAAACTATTTTACTTCAGGGGAAGGCAGCTTCTCCAAATCTTCAGAAGTTTGTGGTCCTGTTCTTGTGAACAGCAGAATCTCTTCATAGGTCCTTTCCTCCTGAATTTATAGTCTTACATGAGAAGAGCTATAGTTTCCTAGTACAGTAAACATATTTGCTTTGCTTTTCACTCGTGGTCACAAGATGGCTGCCATAGCTCCAGGCATCACAAACATTCAAGGTAGGAAGAAGGTAGAATAGGTGATGCCAGCCATGCCTCTAGATGTTTTGTTTTGTTTTGTTTTTTAGGAAAGCAAAAGTTTTCTCATAAGTCTTCCAGGAACCCTTTAGTATTCAAAACGGTATCACATGGGCACCATTAGCTATAACAGAGGTTGGTAAAGCAAGTGTTGAGCTCTTTCAGCCTATGTAGTGGAGATGAGCAAGGAAGAAAGGGGTTAGCAATGGATGGATGGGTTACCAATCAACAACACTGGCCACAGAGCCTAAGGGGTGGGCCACGCAAAAGACCGCTGCCTACTCCCCTTTTCCCATCTCCCAGAGAGGAACAGCCCTTTTTACTACACCCCAGACAAATAAGTCTCAGCTCTCATGGCTTCCTTCCATCTAGTTCTTATAACATAGAGATTTCAGCAAAAATTCCTCTAGTTTCTATCAGAGATGCAATACCCATCCTTGGTTTTTAGTGCTGTTGCTACAGGTTTTTCCATATTTGTTTATTCTGTAGACTATTCTAATGAGAATTTATGAAATGGAAGAAGAGTAAAGGCCTTTGCCTGTGTCACACCATCATGCCCCAAAGGGCAGTTGTAACCCTCCCCTGCCAACATTTTATCAGTTAGCTCCCTCATGAAGTCATTCATAGTCAACTTCAAGCAGCAAAGGGAATCAAGATGGAGTCTAGAGGGAGTAGTGGGATGGGGGGGCTCAGGGGAAGAGAAAGAGATCTAGAGGGGAAATAGGACAGGTGCCTAATGCCAAGTTCATTAACTCAGATATATGTGGCTCAGTGGTACCCTAGGGCATAACATGAATAATTTAGCATCACTTTCAGAGCCCATGTATTCCTTCTCCTTTCCCTCTGACTCCCTTTCTTTCTCTTCACTGTCTGGATATTTCTGTTTCTATCTTTCTCCCTCGTTTGATTTTTTTTTTTTCTTAATCCCCATAGTGTGAAACACATTTTTATTCAGTTTTTATTTCTCTTTATTGTAAAAAGAAATGTTCTATATTTTCTTCTAATAAAAAGAAAGAAAAAAAAAAGGCATTTTAAATTGCATAAATTTCCAAATGAGTTTTTCTCTGTGAATCTGCAATCTCCAATAGGAAAGAAAGAAAAGCTCCTCATTCCCAGGCTAGTGAAAGAATTGACATTATCAAGAAGGGGGTACTGGGGATGAGTGAAATTGACGGGAGGGCAGGTGGACAAGCTGGTCTGTGAGGCAGCCTGCCAGGGCTGGAAACATGCTGCCGTGCCCACTCAGCCACTCTGGTCTGCCCTCCTTGCTGACGGGGAACAGAGTTGTCCTCTTCAGGAGAAGCGAGGAGGGAAGAACAGAGAGAGCCTGCTCGCGAGGAACTTGCCTTCCTTCTGACTCTCCAATAAATGGTATCTAAAAGTCTTAGTAGAAAACAAAGCGAGCAGTTTATCACACTCAGGGAAGCCTCTGGAATGACCAAGAGGACTAGCCTGCGAAATTCTCCCTAGAGCATACCTGGGGAACGAAGATGAAGCAGTTGATCGTGGTTGTGCAAACAAAGATACCTCCAGATGTGAGTCCAAAGACCAGGTTGGGCCAGGAGTGCAAGTATCTGGTGACCATGAAGAGAAGCCCAGCAGCCACTACTACGAGGTTGACCCCAACCATGATGGTTAAAGACTGATTCACGGGAGGAGAGCTGACGTGGTCAGTCAGGCCAGCCAGGTAGGCACCGTAGAGCAGGAGCAGGCCCTGGAGATGGAGAAGAGAACCGGGCGCTGAGAGGAGTGTAACTACGGGCTCAGTGTCAAAGAGCAGGATGGTTGGGACCAATTTCCTCACCTTTAAAATAGGGATAATCGGACCTACCTTAAAGGGTTGTTATGAAGATGTACTAAGATAGCACATGGGAAGACCCTAAGGGCAGCCCCTTACACCTAATAGGTGTTAAAGAAATGTGATTTTCCTCTCCTTCCCTGGGAATTCGTTTATTGGAGGTCAGCAAGTCAGCCATCAGACAGGGCTGTGCTGGGACAGGGCACAGGACAGGATGGTGTAGGTGGGTAGGAGCTCTACAGGACAGGCTGCTGGGCACTCGGAGGGCATTGGGCACACCGTGCTGTCGGTGGTAAGGACTACCACACCTGCTGTGTTGTTTTGCACTACGTGGAGCTGAGGGGCACGTATAAGCGGAAACAGCCCTGTGGTCTGCTTGTCAAGCCGTGTGCCTCGGCAGGGGCAGCGCCCTGAGGAATGGGCTTCCCCCCGCCCCAGTTTTCCCAAAGGCACCATCTGCTTGCCAAGCTCTGCACCTGCAAGACTGCATCTGTCCAGAAGGGATGCCTTTTTCTAATTCACACAAAGGATCTCTATAGGCTAGCAGCGGCTCTGTGCCAGTGGGTGTTTATGGGAGATGGAAAAAGAGAACAAAGGCAGGCTGGGACCTAAGCGAGGCTGTGGAGCAGGCACATGCAAAAAAGACTTCATCTATACCCTTCATCCTCTGTGTGACGTTCCCTGCCCCCACCACCAGGAAGCCAGTGCCCTATTCTTTCCTCTTTCCCATGAAAATAAAACTGCTCTCAGATTTCTCACTTGTACTACAGAGAAAATTACTCACGGCACTTTAAAGTGCTGCCTCTCCTAGAGGGAGCTGCATTGAAACAGAAATCAAAGCTGTAATCAATAATACATAATATATAGATTCAACATACGTTCATCTGACTATGTACAAAGTATGATGTTAAGTGCAGGGTAGGCAAAGGTGTTACAAAGAAGAATAAGTCGTGGTCCTAGCTTTCGAGAAGCTCAGTCTGGTAGGGAGATTTAAGGGAAGCACACAGATGTCCATGTTTTGTCACACAGAATGTGAAGATGCCATGAGGATTGAGGTGGGGGTGGGAAGTATAGATATTCAGAGGGAGAACTAATAATGAAAGCAAGGCCAGGCATCAGCAGGGTATCTGCCAGTGACCCTGAAATCATACGATCTGACCAACTCCATCTGCAAGGACAGCTCTAAAGATAATTTTTTGGAGGCCTGGCTGTGCCGACAGTGAAGGAGTCAGCATGGCAGGAATGTCTTCTGGTCGCCCCTAATGCCCAGTGTCCCAGGAGGGGCTTGAGGGCCAAAGGTGGCCACCCTGAGATCTGCAATGACTAGAAGACACAAAGTCAGGCCAATGGAGCTTGAGTTTTGGGTAACTGACACCATCAGGTGGCATCTGGCAAACTGGATCCTTAGTGATTTAATCAAGAGTAAATGAAATTAATTCTATGATTTTGAGATGTTCATATCTCATTCTTTTAAAATGTCTTAACTCCATCAAAACTCTTGCCAAAAGGGAACTAGGTATGAATAAAGCCTGTCCACATCCATGACTTGTGTTTGAGAAAATCATATCTAATACTTATATGTCATAGGCATTCACTGCTGAGAAGTGTGGGGTGAGGGCAGTTGCCAGGCTCGGGTGGGGGTCCTGGAACTTAATGTGAAGATTTAAGTCATCCTCAGGAACTGCTCATTGACCAGGGAGCCCATAAGGGGCTGGCTCAGTCAGTTTTCTGATGCTTAGCACTCTTTTCCCATTTTCTTCCTTTGTCCTTCAGAAAGATTTTACAGTGAAATAAAATAGAAATGGGATTATATAAAAGGCAATGGAGAAAATAAATCAACTTGAGGCACAAAGTGAGCTGCTATGGGGAAAGTGCCAAGTTTCTGTCCTAGGGAGGACGTGTTTTTCTATAGGGCTCAAGAAATCGAACTGTCCAGGGGGCAGTGGAAGATTAATAATAATAATAACATCTAACATTTATTGAGCTCTTCCTATGGACCAGGAGCGGTTGAGAAAACTCTGATCATGCACTAACTCTTTTGAAATTCAGAACAGTTCTTAGAGGATGTGGTCATCACCCCCATTTTACGTATGAGGGAACCCAGGCTCAGAGAGGTTAAATGAGGTTCAGGGTCAGCTACGAAGGCAGAATCAGAACTCAAACCCTGTTCTGTCATATTCTTTTTTTTTTTTAAGATTTTATTTATTTGCGAGAGAGAGAATGAGAGACAGAGAGCATGAGAGGGAGGAGGGTCAGAGGGAGAAGCAGACTCCCCGCCGAGCAGGGAGCCCGATGCGGGACTCGATCCCGGGACTCCAGGATCATGACCCGAGCCGAAGGCAGTCGCCCAACCAACTGAGCCACCCAGGCGCCCCATGTTCTGTCATATTCTGAAGTTCATTTTCTTAACTGTTAGCAAGAAGCTAGAGATCAAGAACTGTTTACTGCCCAGTGTTCTCTCTTAAAAACATTTCTATCAAAGTAATATATGCACATAGTAAAAAAGCAATATTTCCCTATCCCAGCCCTACTTCTCAGAAGCATCCCCTTGAACAATTTCCTGGTGGTGAAGTGAGTAAAATTTACCTTTAAAGACCACATATTTCTACAAAAATTCCTTCTCTTCTGCCAGCTATCAGTCAACCAGGCCTCCCTGTCCTGAGGATCAACAGGTAGTCTCTTACCACCCAGGGCTTGCCTGAGTGAAATAAGTCTGCCCTATACCCCTCACAGCCAGATTTTCTGTTTCTCCATGCTGAAAACCAGCTAATAGGATAGTTGGTTCTAAGAACCTCCTTTAGTGCCCTGTATAGGTATCCTGTACTTGCTGGAAATAATATCCCACTTTTGCCATCTAACAGAGACAAATGAGGCTAATTGTGGGAGATTCAGGGCAGTATGGGGACCCTTTGAGGCAGCTGGAACCACTCAAAAGACACCATGGATGTTGCCATCTGTCTGAGGGCCAGCCCTACTTCTGATCAGAATAAGAAAGGTTGATGGAAGGCAGCAGGATACCTTGACCCAAATCTTGAAGAAAAACACAAGGAGGTTAATCAGGGCACTCAGAGAAAAAATAAAGCTGGATAAAATGTCTCCGCATAATCTCCCTTGCAGGGATTTGGGGAGAAAACTGGTATTGCCAAATCAATTAAAAAAATTAAGAAATGGAAGAAACAGTGGGTGAATTTCACATGATTTAGGGGAAAATTGAATGAGGGGGTCCAAAGAGTTGGAAAAGTGACCCCCAAGACAAATAAAGAGTAGAGAAATAATAAGGGTCGTAACTTTGAGATTTATGCATCAACAGAGGTTTCCTCTGATTTCAAGATTCTTTGCAGAAATCACCTCATTAATTCCTCTAATTCCCTTTTCATGGCTATTTCATTGGTGACAGATAGATTATATCCCAAGGATATGTGGTTACCAACCTTGCATACCAAAACAAGAGCAATCCAGACATCAGAGTACCGGGAAGCACAGAAGTGTGAGCTGGTCAGAGAGCAGGACACGTCTCTCCCTGTCACCTAGGAGGGACAAAGAGGACGGAAGGAACCCACAATTACCAGGAACGCCCAGGAGATCTTTGGGCACATCTGGAGCATGAACTCTTCTACAGCATGTAATTTCCTCCTTAATATGTAAAAACTATAACATTTAGGTGACTCCATTATAATCTAAATGAAAGTGACTATGAATTAAAGGAAAAGATGATAAAGTCCGGCTGACATGTGGATGCTTGGTGGTGGCGGGGCTTACTCCTCAGTTATGTGCTTTGCTACCACAGTGACTCAAATTAGTGTATCAGCAAAATTATGAATTACTTCACATCTTGTTTCTGCTTTTTGCTAACAGTTGAAATTGTAAATACTAAATCTGCAAAGTCAAGATTCCACTGTATTCTTCAGCCCCTTGTGAGGCTGGAGACCTAATAATACTTCCTGTTAATCGAACTCTACGTAGTAGGCACAGTTGAGCCCTTTCCCTGCATTTCCCTTCATCTTCGCCACAGCCCTAGGAAATAGGAAACACTGTCTTCGCCACTTTACCTATGAGGAAATAGAGACTGCGAGAGGTTTAAATGACTCTCCCCAGGTCACATGGCTGGTAAGTGGGATTTGAAGGAGGCTGACTGCCTCCCAAGACCACCTCAAAATACCCCTTTTACTTCTCAATAACTAGGGGAAGTCAACTTCCTGTGGCTGAAAGTTCTCATTACTGATCATGAAATAATCATGAAAGCAGAGATAACCGCCAGGCAGTTCTCATGTGCTGATATCTCAGTGGATGTTGCTGGAAGACACGTGGAGCAGGAGCAGGGGCAGTGGCCAAGGTAGCACCCCCTGCAGACAAGGGGCAAGGCATTCACTGCAGCCACAGCTCCCAACTCTCCCTCCTTTTTGGGTCATTTATCTTCTTGTTGGGAGGATGACTGCCGAGTGAGTACTGCTCGGAGAATGACCCTAGTGTACCCACAGAAGCCAGTCCTCCCAGTTCGGGAAATAGGTTGTTCAGGGATTGGGCCCCTCACCGTCATACTGACACCGAGAATCTGGAGGCACTGGATGGGATCAGTCAGCACCCACGTCACAAGCAGGATCACATCAGCTATCACCAGGGCTGCCACCAACCCCAGTAGCTGCAGGTCTTTGATTATCTGCAAAAGAGTCAAGGTCATAACATTCCTTGGCTTGCTGGCTAAATGACACAGGGGCTGGAGTACATTGTGTGCTCTGAGCTAAATGTTCCAGGGTCAGCCCTCCCAGGGGGCTTCACATCCAGCCATCAAAGATGAGACACACACTATAGATGTACAATGGTGTCTATGTCCATGTCATCACCATCACCATTAAATGTTTTCATTTGTTTATCTGCTCCATATCCTGCCTTTTCTCACAAAGGATTAAGGAATTTTATAAAATGAATACACTAATATTTCTAGATGTGTGCATATGAGCATATAGAGAGATATGAAAGTTTTCACATAAAACGGTTAACAACCATTAACTTGGAGGGTGGAATTGAAAGATGAGGGTGGTGGAAGAGAGATTACTGGCATTTTCTTTATACATATATGAATAGTTCGACTTAATACAAAGAGGATGTATTACTTTTGTAACCACAGAAAGGATCAAAAATGGAAAAATATCAAGGAAAAGAGAAAAGCAGGAGAATTAGGATGAATGGTCAGATGAGGAGAGTACATAGCCCTCATGAACTGGGGGAGAAATGTGCATCTGAGTTTTTGACAACCAATGAAAAGAAGAGAGCACAACTAGTTACATGATTCATGGTGTCTGTAACATAAAAACACATCAGTCATCAGTTGCTTCATCAAACTGCTTACAGTCAGTGATAATAAGAAAATCTTCAAATCAACCAGGAAAAAAGCACACTATGTGTAGAGGAACAAAGACAAGGATGACATCAGATTTCTTATCAGATAAGGCCAGGAGAGAAGACAGTAGAGTGAAAACTTCAAGGTACTGAAAGAATAAAAGAAAGCCTCGATGTGTAATTCTATATCCAGCAAAAGTAGCTTTCAGAAACAAAGGGGAAATAAAGACTTTTTCAGGTAAACAAAAGCTGAAAGAATTCAGCACTAGCACACCTGCATGAGAATGTTAATATCCTCAAAACAAAAGGAAAATGCTATCAGATGAAAATATGGACCTATACAAGGAAATATTAACTTCATGGAAAAATATACATTGATTTTAGTTATTTAAATATCTTTAAAAGATAACCATTCAAACAAAAATGAGCAACAATTGTGTGGGGCTTATAACATATGTAGAAGTGAAAACAACACAAAGATCGGGAGGGGGGAAATGGAAGCACACTGTTGTGAGATATTTATATGTATGTGAATGCCAACTGTAGCATTGTACACAAACACTTCCAGAAACTGAAGAGGAGGGAGTGCTTCCTAATTCATTCTATAAGGCTGGTATTATGCTATACCAAAACCAGGAAAAGATTTTATAAGGAAAGAAAGCTAAAGAACAACATCCCTTAAGAACATGAATACACACATTATAAGCAAAATCTTATGAAAAGGAGTTCAACAATAAAAGAAGAGGTTAATACATCATGACCAAGTGGAGTTTGGAAAATAGGATTGCTTTGAGATCCTAAAATCATTTAATGTAATATGAACAAATGAAAAAAAGAAAAAAAAAACATATGATCAATAGACACAGAAAAAGCATTTGACAGAACCCAACATCAATTCTTTAATAAAACCCTCAGCAAAATGTGAATAGAAGGGTACTTCCCCAACTAGCTAAAGGATATCTATAATACAACTATAGCTAACATACTTAGTTTTGAAATACTGAATGCTCTCCCCATAAAGTCAAGAAAAATTCAAGGATGTCTGTGCTTGGCATTTGTATTGAACATTGTACTAGTGTTTCTAGACAGTGCCATCATACAGAAAATTGGAAAGAAGCTCTTTATTCACAGATAATATGATCATCTATGTAGAAAATCTGATGGATCTACAAAACGATCTGATGGATCTACAAAAAATATGATGGATCTACAATAAGTAGTTCAGCAAGTAGTTTAGCAAAGTTACAACATACAAGATCAGCATATGAAAATCAATTGTATTTCTACATATTAGCAACAAAAAAATCAGTAAGTGAAATAAAAAACAATAACATATAATAGCATAAAAATTTAATACTTAGGAAATGAATCTGATAGAAGATGTGAAAGCCCTCCACTGAAAACTATAAAAAATTGCTGATAAATATTAGAAAAGACCTAAGTAAATGAAGAAATATATTGTATTCATGGGTTAAAAGACACAACGTTGTTAAGAAGTCCACAATTTGATCTACAGAGTCAACACATTCTCATCAAAATCCCAGAAGAAATTTGCAGAAATTGGCAAACTGACTCAAAAATTCATATGGAAATTCAAAGGACTTAGATTAGCCAAAACAATATTGAAAGAGGACAAAGTTGGAGAACTAATACTCCCTGACTCAAGGTTTTATATAAAGCAACAATAATCAAGATAATATGGTAATCAAGATAAACAAATACATCAATGAGACAGAATCGGGTCCAAAAATAGATCCACATATGTATGGACAACTGATTTTCAACGAAGGTGAAAGTAATTCAGTGAAGAGGACAGACTTTTCAATAAATGGAGCTGAAGCAATTTCATATCAGTATGTAAAAAAATTAACTTTGATCCATACATCACATCATATTCTAAAATTAACTCAAAATGGATCATAGGCCTAAATGTAAAAAACTAAAACTCTAAAACTCCTGGAAGTAAGCACAGGAGAAAACTTTTGAGGCCTTGGATTAGGTGAAAGTTTCTTAGATCTGACACCAAACATGATCCATAAAAGAACAAATTGGTAAGCTGGACATCATCAAGATTAAAAATGTCTTCTCTTTGAAAGATACACTTAAGTGAATGAAAAGAAAGGTCAAAAATTGGAAGAAAATCTTTAAAAATCATTTATATCTGCTGATGGGCTTGTATCCAGAATATAAAAAGAACTCTCAAACTCAGTAGTAAGAAAACAAACAAATAAATTTTTAAAAATGGGTAAAAGATTTGAGTAGATACATCATCAAAGAAGATATATGGTTAGCAAAAAAGCATGTGAAAAGATGCTCAACATTGCATTAAGGAAATGCAAATTAAAACACAATGAGATACTACTATACACAACTATTAGAATGACTACAAAGAGCAACCAAGTCAAATGTTGGCAAGGATGTAGAAGAGAGGGCCTCTCATACACTGCTGGTGGAATGTAATAAGGTACAACCATTTTGGGAGAAAGTCAATTTCTTAAAAAGTTAAACAGACACTTACCATATGATCTACCCATTCTACTCTTAGGTTTTTATCCAAGAGAAATGAAAGCATATGTCTACACAAACACTTATACATCAATGTTCACAGCACTTTTACTTTTAATAGCCCTAAACTGGAAAGAAACCTAAACATCCATCAACAGATGAATGGATAAACAAACTGTATGTCTACACATTGGAATATTACTCACCAATAACAAAAAAAGAACCACTGATGCATGCAACAACACATATGAATCTTAAAATAATTATGCCAAGTAAAAGAAGACAGGTTAAAAAAAAAAGTACAGGGGCACCTGGGTGGCTCAGTCAGTTGAGTGTCTGACTCTTGGTTTTGGCTCAGGTCATGATCTCAGGGCCGTGGGATTGAGCTCCACAGCCTGGCTCTGTGTTCAGCGGGGAGTCTTCTTGAGATTCTATCTCTCTCCCTCTACCCCTTCCCTGGCATGCACCTACTCTCCCTCTCTTTCTCTCGCTCTCAAATAAATAAATAAATCTTTTTTAAAAAAAGAGTACATACTGTATGATTCTATTTATATAAAATCCTGGAAAATGCAAACTAATCTATTGTGACAGATAGCATATCAATGGTTGCCTGGGAATAGGGATGGATGTAAGGATTGGACAGGAGAGAGAGATAACAAAGATTCATGAAGAAACTTTAGCAGATCATACACCACATTTCATGGGTGTATACATATGTCAAAAGTTGTCAATTCACACACTTTAAATATGTGCAGTTCATTGCATGTCAATTATGCCTCAATAAAGCCATTTTTTACAAAGAAATCTGTGTTCTAGAAGGATAGATCAACTTCTTGTCCTTTAGTCAATTTTTTTTCATATTATGGTTACTCACAGCTGAGCTTTTTATCAATATTCACTGAATAATGACTGAATAATGTTTGCAAAAAAAAAAAAAAATCACTCCAGAGAAGTAAACTCCAATTGAGTGATACACTGGGTCTGGGTAGGACCTATAGCCAAAGAATTTGATGACCGGACTTTGAGGTTTGGGCAGGGAACCTGATAAAATGGGGAAATGTGGTCAGGATTACATCTGATGTCAGGGATATAGGTGATCTGGCTGCCACACAGCTTTTAGGATTGATTCTATCTGCTGAATGGATGTCCTCTTCTTTGCTCACTGTTCCAGGCCCATCCTTCTTAGTGCAGAGAACGGCCTTCTACATGGAAAAGAACTGGGCTCCAGTAAAGGAAATAACTGCTTACTTGCTATAGCTTCTCCATGATCACTGTCCCTCACTCCACTTTCAGCTCACACTTGTGCCAAGCAACAGTCTCTATGGGCATCTTGTTCTCCCTCACACTGTTTCCAGATGTTGGCCAGTTCACACAATACCACCTGTACTAAGGCCTGGGGTACATATGAAACAGAACTATGTTCAAAAGCCTACCTCCCAAGAGCACTGGCACATAGCCTTCCAGGCTTGGGGACTTAGGAGGCCACACCACTCCAAGATTTGAAATGAGGAGCAGAAACTTCAGATTGCCATAAAAAGGCCTACCCAGTAATCTGACACAAACTTCCCTAGCTTATAATCAATAATAAAGCTGCTGTTTGCAATCAAGCACCGGTAAGTAACTGCTGCCTACTCACCACTCTCTTGTCCGGGACCCTCTGGGTAAACACCTTGTAGAGTCTCCAGCTCTTCCCTAGAATGGGGCCAAACACAAGGGAGGTCCCAATGCACAGCATGGATAGTCTTATCTACAGGGGGAAAAGGACAGAAACAAGAGGCATGAGAGGGACCTTTGTTGTTCTCCACATTCTGATCTGCAAAGCCTCAGTCCACACAGGGCATGGGGCAGGATGTGGACCACACTAAACATTCCAGTGATCACCCCTGAGAGTGTCCATTCCAAAGATAAAGGTAGCCACCACTACAGGAGATGCTGATTTAAAAATATATCAAAAGTTGGACATTTTGTTCAAAACAAAAACTTAAGATTTAACCTACCTGAATGAGAGTTTCCATTGAGCGTCCCTCTAAAGCATCTCGATCTTGAATCCCAAAGAGGTAAACACTACTGTAAGTCAGACAACTGCCAAGTAAGGTCACAATGTTCAGATTGGGACTGGACATCTTCACAATCCTAAAGTGAATCAGGAAGAAAGACACTTAGAGTCATGACCCTTTGGCATTAGAGTGAACAGAGCTTCCTCACCAGTATAATCTCCAATGTAACCTCGGAGTGAAGGGCCACTGGGAAGAAACCACTTTATAGCCCTGCAAAAAACTGTTAGGATTTATTTAAATTTATTTTCAAAAAGAACTATATTCTGGCATTTCTCCAAGTCTTTAAAAAAAGGCCAACTTCTAAAAAACAGGTGGTATCAGAGAAGAGTTAGGACTTTTCCATGAAATTTATGGTTGCTAAGAGACAGCTATATGCAACCTAGTGAATAAATAACTAGCAGGTAGTTACCTAAAGAGATACAGCTTGGAGGCTTTAGAAATGAGCTGTAAGGTAAACTACTATTTGGAAAAGCTTTGTGATTTTTTTCACAATTTACTCTGTTTGATATGTAAAATTGTTTTTCCTTTCTCTGCTTGACCAAAAGAGAAAAAGGAAGCAGGGATTGAAAGCAGGAAATTTGGGAAGGGTTTTTGTCAAACAGTTTTAAATGAGTTTACAGAACAATTCAAAGATTAGAGGGAGGTGTGGACAATCTGGGTGTCAGACAGACCCTGGGCACCAACGGAGGTTCAGGACAAGGTAAAAATGTGTGAAGTGGTTAATTTAAGGGGAAAACCAGGCTTATTCTGGACAGTGACTGATAACAATTAAGAAGGAATGTCATTGTATTTAAGAGTTTTAGTCTAAATAGTATATTCTACATAAATTCAATATTTACATTAATAGTCACTGGATAATTACACTTAGTTATACTTTTGTTTTAAAATAATAACTGAGGAGGAAAGCATTCTTATCTATGTACCTGGATTACCCAGCTGACCACTTTAAAGTCAAGAGCCAAGGCAAAATCAGCTACTTAGTGCAGCCTACTTTAATGACAGGCAAAGTACTCAGAGGCATTAAACAGTTTGGCAGTGCTAGACTTGCAAACATCATAACCAACAATGGCCCACCTTGATTACTTTGTGGCTGGCATCATAATTACATCCACACACACAAAAATACCAAGCCACTGCCCTGGGACTCAGACCCCAAGTACAGATAATGTAGACTAGTAAGTCCAGCTGAGCTTTACCTTGTCTTGGAGCAAAAACCTTGATTTTTTTTTTTTTCTTCCTCTAAAAATGAGAACAAGTTTCATGGATTCCCCTTATAAAAAGGGGATAACAATAATACATCCCTCTCCCCCTGCCAGAGTTGTAAGGATTCAGGGAGGTAATATAGCAAATTGTGTGGCACAGTGCCTGGTGCAGAGTAATCATGTAGCCAACATTAACTAGTCATATTATTAATCTCACCATCTTCAGACTTTAGAAGCCTATGAATCACCTTTTCCTTTCCTGTTTCTTTTCTTTTCTTTTTAAAAGATTTATTTGTTTTAGAGAGAGAACGTGCATGTATGAGCGAGGTGGGGGGAGGGGCATAGGGAGAAAATCCACAAGCAGACTCCCTGATGAGTGGGGAGGCTGACCTGGGGCTTGATCTCATGACTCATGAGATCATGACCAGAGACAAAACCAAGAGTCAGTGTTCAACCAACTGCAGTACCCAGGCACCCCACCTCTCCTGTTTATCACCTATACCCAATCAATCTATATCTGTAGAACCTGTATAAACCTGGATTATCAGTTCAAAAGTCTTTAATGAATTCTGATGCTTATATGACATCCATCAGCTCACAGGTATGATGTTTTAAAAGTCTTCATCAAATATCGGTTTCTGAACTTAGCTGAAACTCAGCTGCACATGTCTCACAGCCACACATCTGTGTTGTCCAGATCACTGATGGGGAGGTTTCTTTCTTAATTCTTCTCTGGGGCCATTTTATTTGAACGCCACTCTACAATCAGATCTTCTTTGTGTTATTCAGTACTGCATGCAACCTTGATTTAGAATTTCTCACCCTCCTGACTTAGGAGGACCTGAGTTTATTTATTTTCTTTATTGTTATTTTTAATTATTATTTTTTATTAACACATAATGTATTATTTTTTTCAGGGTCCGTTTAGTTATTTTTGACAAAATATACATTACATAGTCTTCACATCTCAGAAGTTGATGCAAATTCATTTTCTAAATGGACATGTGGACTTATATATATATATACATATTTATATTTTTCATAAAAAATTTTACTTAAAACTTGCATCAGAAAAAAAAATGAATAGAAGATGATTTACCTCTTTTGTTTGGTGAAGTTAACACCTGTGAAGTCACTGAAAGGTGAATCATCTCCTATTCAGCAGATGAATTATGTATGTCTGGGGAATGTCTTTGCTACTTTAATAGGAATTCAACCACCAATGTCACTTATATTTTTCTGTTGAACTAAAAGATGAAACCTACACATGCTGAATATTTTAATTAACCACAAACACATAATTTCCACAAAGCAAGAAGATTTCAATATTATATACTTAATTATAAATATTCAGTCCCATCGAGATTACCTATGTTGCGTTTATAAAGAGATAAAAGCTTGGACTGGGTTACTAGCACCCAGAAACAAGGGTTTTTGTTTTTGTTTTTTTTTAAGGATTATATAGCTATCTAATCTTTTTCTCTTCATTTATTAATTGGCAATGTAAGACAAGAGCTTTCTTGATTTTTCTATTCTCAAGTAAGTCTCAATATAAATAAATATCTACCTATATCTGCAGAGACTGTATAAACCTGGATTATCATTTCAAAAGTCTTTAATGAATTTTGATGCTTATGTGACATCCATCAGCTCACAGGTATGATGTTTTAGAAGTCTTCATCAAATATAGGTTTCTGAATTAGAGGTTTATTATACTTGCTCTGGAGGACTGACTGGGTCATCCTATTGTTTCTTCTTAATTCTGGTTATGAACTGAATTTGGAAACATGGCTTGCAAATAGGGTTGAGGGTATTTCTTGTGGCTATTAGAAAAGTTTCCTAAAATGTCACAGGGCCATGGTTTCTAAAATGCTATATGGGGGTCACTAAGCTTTAGACATAGCTAAAACCAAGTATGAATGTCTTTCTAAAAAGATTTTTAATAAAACACTTAAGATTAAATTGTGAGAGTTAATTGAATTTCTTTTTCAATCCACTGTTTTTGATCCATGCTACAGTGGGATTATAAATCTACCTCAGCTGGATATGTTCCAAACTGCTTTATTATAATGTTGTCTCGTGTGTTTCAGCAAATAGTGATCATTTTGGGGTGCCTGGGTGGCTCAGTTGGTTAAGCGACTGCCTTTGGCTCAGGTCATGATCCTGGAGTCCCAGGATCAAGTCCCGCATCGGGCTCCCTGCTCAGTGGGGAGTCTGCTTCTCCCTCTGACCCTCCCCCCTCTCATGCTCTCTCTCTATCTCATTCTCTCTCAAATAAATAAATAAAATCTTTTAAAAAAAAGTAATTATTTTGCTACTTTGCTTATTTCTAATGTTTTAGGTTCAAAATCTAAACCCAATTCAAATTCTGTACACCTCAAAGCAATATTTATGTGACTTCTAATCATATGTGTTCTAATTCTGTATCATAATGGTGAGAGTAGCTTGGCCCTGTTCCTTCCTGTCCTGTGTGGGCCACCATTCTAGGAGGCCATCCTAGGATATTTCATTAACCTTCCAACCTCCAGAGTTCTAAATTCTTTTATCATAATGACTTCACTTTATTCTGCTTTTAGATACCCATCCCCAGGGTTGCACCTTGGATGTTACAATCATTCAGAATGATTCCACTTCAGAAATTTTGAAAACCAATATTCCCCTCTTTGATCCAAAATTGAACTCTTACTCTTCTCCCTGGACCTGTTCTTCTCACATTCTTCCCCAGTTCAGATAATAGCAATTCCATCTTTCTATTTGGTTGGACCAAAAATCTTGAAGTCATCCTTGACTCTTGCTCACCACCCACATTCAATCTGTCATGAAATCCCCCTGGTTCTATCCTTGAAATACATCCAGAATCCAACTACTTACCACCTCTGTTGCCACCACCCTGATCAAAGTCTGACTTTGCATTTCTCATTTGGATTATTACAATAGCCTCCTAACTGGTCTTCCTGCTTACTCTGGGCCCTTCCTAAGTCTATTTTCAACATAGCAGTCATAGCAATCCATTAAAGGTAAATCAGATCATGTCACTTCTCTGTTCAGAAGGCTGCAGTGCAGTGCCTTTCTAATTCACTCAGAGGAAAACTCAGTCTTTACCAGAGTGTACAAGGCTTATATATTTAGGTCCCCATTATCTATCCCATTTCCTACTTCTTCCTCTTGCCCACTCCACCCCACACAGGCCTCCTTGCTATTCCTTGAAAACACCAGGCACTCACACACTTCAAGGCTTTGAAGTGGCCGTTCTCCCTGTCTAGAATATTCTAATTCATATATTTGCATGGCTCATTCCCTCTATCCTTTTATGTCCTTGTTCAAAAGTTACCCTCTCAAATCAGGGCTACGACCCCATTTAAAATCACACTCTTCCTCAGAATTCCAAATCCTTTTTAACCTGTTCTATCTCCAGCCCACCACAATACTTACTACTTTCTAAACTATTACATAATTTACATATTTATTATTGTTTATTGTCTTCTCCTCCCAATTAGAATTGTTCATGATGTACTCCCAACACTAGAACACTACATAGCATTTTGAAAGCACTCAGTAAAGGGGCGCCTGGGTGGCTCAGTTGGTTAAGTGTCTGACTTTAGCTCAGGTGATGATCTCAGGATCCTGGGATCAAGCCCCACATTGGACTCTGTGCTCAGCAGACAGTCTGCTTCTCCCTCTCCCTCTGCCGCCTCTGCCACTCATGCTCTCTCTCTCAAATAAATAAATAAAATCTTAAAAAAAAAAGAAAGCACTCAGTAAATACCTGATGAATGAATGAATGAGCCCCCTGCTCTCCAGCCCTCTCATATGCTCACTTTTAACACACTTGCTCATTGACAGCCTGCAGACCTCCTGTTCCCTGGCTCTTCAG